CATAACCATCTTTTCTCAGGGGACGACTAACACCCAGTATAAGGCACGATGGTCAACACTCGGTCTCCCAACTTTGTGTTGACGAAGATATGTTTGACAAGTAGACGAGAAAAATACTGTTAGTCCGCATACCAAACTGCTCCCTTCCGTAAGTCAGACATATGTGAAATTATAAAACTTTAAAACATGTCTTTTAGTCATTACACAAACGATAAAACATTCCGCAGATTATGTACCACCCTACAAACGTTATCGCCCGGTCTCCAAAGACATTGATGGGGAAAAGACAGACGATGAAAGACTCACCAGTTTGACGACTATCCGACTTGCTGAAGTGTTGGTCACTGGACAGAGAGGTGGCGATCCTTGCAGTCCCGCAGCTACCAACGAACTGAATTCTCGTCTTCGCTGTTCGTCCTTTATAGGGCTCTAGGATACTGGTGGCAAGTCTGGACAGGTTCTGATACAAACAATTGATGACGTCGCTTTTCCCTCGGATGCAGCGGTCCCAATGGGGACAAGTCCGGCACATGTCACCAGAGAACAAAAGGTACCGACAAAGGGGGACCCGGGGTTTTCCCGAAGCAAGGATATCAGGATAAAACGTTTTCAGGTTTGTCCTTAGTTGCTGTTACTCGTCATTGCACTGTGTACGGAAAGAAAAGAACCTTCTATACGTCTCTGTGACAAATCAGCATGATGAAATTTTATCGGGCATTTGTGCAATTGAAACAGTGTGAAAGAGATATGCGGTTGTTCGGAAACAAACCCCCCCCACAAAAAAATGCATCGATCAATGAACACATTCCCCCCACCCGCGTACAGTGCTGAGATTCTGTATCTTCATATGATGTCGTATAATGACGATTGTTGGCAAGGGGTTTAAGCTTGTGTGCTGCCCGCGTGGAATATAGTCTTGAAATCCTCTCAAAAGCATCAAACTAAAAGTCGGAAATCCTCTCCTAACTAGAAGTCGGAAAGTATTAGAGGTCGCTGGTGTTTGGTCGGGCAAGAAGGTCGGGTCGCCTTTGTTGTTAAAGACCTCATGAATAATTCTCTTGTGGAGAGGGACAAATATCGGTCAGCACAAGGCAAACATCTACGCTATCAAACAAGGAGGGTGCGCGATCTTAGTGGTATAACAAGATCTTACCGACACAAATGTGTAGAAAGCACCTAGAGATATACATTTGATAAACATGCCTGGTACTGTACCTTTTCAGAGTTTAAAAAAATCTACAAACATGACAACCCTAGTCCTATTCCCGCAAATGCACGACATAGAATATATATATATATATATATATATATATATATATATATATATATATATATGAATGTATTTGAGTAAGAATTAACAGAGCAGACCATATGCCGAGGTTAACATTACAAATGCATTTGCTTTGCAAATGTTACCTTTCTAGTTTCTAAATGTTATTTTTCACTTTTCTTGATTTCACTTGAATCCAGCTGAATGCAACCAACTCGGACCTTGAGCTCCTGAACTTTGTGTTCGTGGTGTACTACCTGGTGGAACAGTGCCTGAAGTTTGTCCTGCTGGGCTGGAGGTACTACAGAATCAGGTAGGGGGCGCTGGTGTACTGCAGCTGGAAGAACTTGCTGTAACAGCTCTCTGCAAATGTGGTTTCATACCAGCATTTTCCTTTCTTCTAGCCTTCTCCCTGCTGCCTAAGCCCATAACTATAGACAACTGGTAGCCAAACAGTGCTACTTCAGCATGCTTAAAGGTTAAACAAGCTGCAAGGTTTCAAATGCACCAGTTATTTTTTTTTGTTTTTTGTCACCATCTTAGGTGGTCAAAAAAATGTGTGTAGAGGTGCTTTGTGTAATTATTCTATGCTCTCCTGTTCACTAAAGTTATGAATTATCATGTAAGTGCATTAGAAAAAGAAAAACTCATACATGTATAAAATATTGGCCTGACAGTGATAGAAATACCCATCTGTAGTCTGCAGAGACATTTTCAATATTGAAGAAAAATTAAGCAACCTACTACTGGCTCTATACTATACTAATTTTAAAATTGCATATAAAATATTTGCCAACATGCAATTTTGTATGTGCCATGGGTTTAAATTCAGATTTTTAAGTGTGCATTTGCAGAAAGTATTTCCAAATTGCAGAACAAAATGTTGACATTCTGCTATATTGCAAAACACTGATAAAAGTATTTCTACCACTGCCTAAAAAACAACTTTTACCATAATTCAGGAAAACGTACATCTTCGACGCGCTGGTGACCTTCGGTCTCGTGATTGTCGAGGTCATGACCCTGGTGGAGTACGGGTCGCCGTTTTCCGGACTGGACCGAAAGGACGAGGTCGAGACCGTGATCGAATTATGGGACCTCATCCGCATCACCAACATCCTCATCATGTTCCGTCTCCTACGCGTTATATCGCTTTTCAAAACCATGTCCCTGGTGTTGAGCACGCTGCTCGATCTCATCAAGAACATGCGAGCGTTCGCGGGGATCCTCGTCGTGATCTACTACTTCTTCGCGATCCTTGGGATCGAGATCTTCAGCGGCGTGACGAACTACGAGACCTTCCGGACTGTAAACGTCACATGCGGGAGCTACCAGCAGCTCAACTATTGGGCGAATAACTTTAACGATTTTGCATCGGCGTTGGTCGTGTTATGGGACGTTATGGTGGTGAATAACTGGATGGTGTTTCTGTTCGCGTACAAGGACGCGTTGAGTACGGGCTGGGCGCAGCTGTTTTTCATCGTGTGGTGGCTCGTGTCCGTCGTCGTCTACGTGAACTGTTTCATCGCGCTCGTTCTCGAGAACTTTATCACGAAATGGGACAAATCGAACGCTATTAAGGAAGAGCAAGAAGACGAAGGGCGCAGTCGTACTTTATCGTTCACAGAAGTACGAGTAGAGTCGGTGCACCACTTGTTCAGAAGTGGTCTCACTGAACCTAAAGAGGAAGAACTTTTGGAAGAAATAAGAAAACATCAGCATTTAGAAATCAAGGTCTAGCTTTGTTTATGTAAAGTATTAATTTTGTGTCATTATCATGTGGCTTTTGCTGACAGTGAATTAAGTTAACGTTTCTCACAAAAATGGAGCTTGATAAACGTATTTGGCAGTCTTGTGCAATTTTGAAAAAAAAGAAGAAATTGTCAATACCAGTATTTTGTTTGTGCAATACAATAATCATTTCATGTGCTTCACAGTGAAATTGTGTAATGTGGAAAACAGTTTGGAGAAGTTTCGAATAGCTGGCTAGATTAAAAGCCTGTTAAAATAAGAAGACTTGATAAGTTTGTTCAGTTGAAAGGCTGAAAATCATCAAGTGTAACACAGCCTTCATTTCATTGGCAGAGGTAGTCAGCCAATCAGCATGCCTCATGTTTCAGGTACTCATTCTGATTGGTCAATGTGCTAACATTTGTTGTTAACATTACATCATGTACATTTCATTATTCATTCAGTGAATTAAGTGTGAACTTAAGTAAGATGGCATAAGCTTAAGTTATCCAAGACAGACTACTAAAAGGTGTGTGTTAATGCTTCTACAAACTTTTTCAAAACAGCAGTTATTAAAATTACATCAGGAGTATGATGTTTGTATAAATATGTAGTTACAAGGTTCAAATTGTTCTGTTTCATGTAACAAATATTCAACATGCACCTCAATGTTCTGACCAAATTTCAACTAAAAATTCTGGCTCTATGGTACTACATGTACATACTGTTAAAAATGTTTTTGTATTGAAACTTTTGAAAAGAAGGGCCAAGGGAGAGAATTCTGTAAAAGCTTGATGATATTTCCACCATTGTGCCCAAGACTTGAAAATGTAAACTGATCTATATTTCAAACACAGAAAAAAATTAACTATATTGATACAAAAATGTATTCTTTGAGCTGTATAAACCTGCAGTTTATAATGGAATTAAAAACTAAATTGTGATGATGTTAACAAATCAGCCTTATTTTTTGGATCAGCTTCAATTTTCATTCACTGTTTGATTTTAATGTATGAAAGAAAGAAAGAAAGAAAGAATGTTAAGATGAAAGTTTAGTAATTGTAGAAGTGAAATATCCATGAATTCTATATTAAGACAACTAGATTTAGTGTAGCAACAAAATGTCAATAATTTATAACAAAATTTACTGTTTTCGTTCTGTAATTATTAGAAAAACTGACATGTGAGTGAATGATTGGTTAAAATGTTGCAGTTGCCTGGTCATATGGTATGACATCATATGACTGTTCTAAATTTGTTGCCTTTTTTACATATTAGGCTTGGGTGTTGTTGTTTATTACACCATCCTAAGGAAAACATATCAAAGAAAAACTTCTGTAAAATCAGGTAACAAACAACAAAATTCAAACACAAGGACCACAAAAGACATAAAACAATGATCAATTAATTAATTTGTTTTCACCAATGTTTATTAATATTAAATCACCCATCAATACACACTATTTTGCAGAACTAACAATTATAGATATGTTGTAGTAAAGTTATATTCATGTATCTAGTAACCATATATGTAGCTAAGACCACATGTGAATTAATGTAGAATGTTTTTTTTGCATTGATGTACATGTATGAGTTATTTTGCCATACCAAAATTATAAGAAGATGGAAAATACATCATCTAAAGGTAAATGATTTCTATTATTTTGTTATTTTTAACTATTTTGTTTGTTCTGTTGTCTTTTTACATGTAAGTCACTTTAATTTAGACAGTGCCACCAGTTTAGTTTAATTTCTTGGTTTCTGATTCGCATACTTCATTTTTTTATGATTTAAAAAAAGGATCACAATTGATAGCACTCCAAGATCTGAATATACCCCAAATGCTCACATTTCTTTTATTTGTCAATATATCAAAAGTTAAAATGTTTCATTGTTTCAAATATTACCAGGCTGAACCTAGTAGTACATGTTGACCTCGCAGCTCTTTTTACACTTTTGTGCACTTAAGTCTATTGAATTATGTCTGTTTTTTTCTAATGTGTATTTTTTATTTCATCTGCTTCATGATTTTCATTTAAAAAATTAAGAACCAAGAAATTAAACTAATGTGGCCCTATTTGTATAATATCTTCTGAAGAACAACAATATTGTTATAAAAAAACACCCTGCCACCTGCCAACCAGAAGTAAAATTAATGCACCACAGTGTTGCTTCTTGTTTGGAAAGACCAGCACCTGATCCAAAATTTTGACAGTAACAAACTGCAAGTAGTGCATCAAATAGAGAAAATACAGTAGACCACTTTCTATGTAGATCATATTACTGTTAAAGCGATATTATGTAAGATTTTTGCCCCAAAACTGTAAATATAAAATAAGTTAAATTTTCTCATCTAGATTGTCATTTTCAATAACTTTCAACATATTAGCATCACTATTTTGCTTTTCCAGCAACTCAGCGCAGCACGAAAAAATAAGTTGCGCACTGTATTTTTAGGAGGCTCCTAAAAAGGATGTAAACAAACATGGCTGCAATCCACGCTAGCGCCAAGGAGTTGGCAGTTTTCCAACACGTTTTTGCGGCACAACAACATTGATCTTATTCTTTTACTCCCCAAATGTCATGATGAACCCAGGTAGGCTTATAGCGCAAGAAATCTGAGTATAATATCGCTTTAACAGACATGTAGTACAGAGCTTCAACAAAGTTGACCCAAAAGAAGTGCATCGAATTTTGGACTATAATTTTTATCTTGTTTATGATCAGTCAATATGCATGTTGAATGACCTTGGAATGTCCTCCAGGTTGACCTCTACACCTTGAAGAGCATGATGGCGGTTTTGTTCAGGTACATGTAGATGAAGGCGTCCTTGGCGTGAGTGATGGAGGAACCGTAGTCCGTTCCCGCGATGCAAACCCACGACGGCTCATACTTCTCGTCAAACTCTTTCTTCAAGGTCGACGCGACCTCCTTGTGAGGCTTCTTCTTCTGTTGGGAGAGGTTGTTCAAGGTCAGTGAACTATGGTAGGGTTTATTAAGTTTTTAGTTATTGAGAATCTGGTCTGATGTTTAAAACAAGAAAACAGTCCATTTTCAAGGCTCCATTTTTACATGAATTCTAACTTGTGACCTCATCTTTCCCTGTTTTCCAGGTTATTCAAGGTCAATGAACTATGACCTCTCAAACTCAATTATAATGTCACATGTACTAATATTTTGTTAGCATTTATCCCAATAGTTATTGTGACTTTTTAAACCATAATTAAAAGTGTAGTATTTTGAATTCATCAATAACTTTTGCTGTAACTATTTGCTGTCAATGTTTCAAGCCACTAATATATATTTTCCCATTCAAATACTAGTAATAAAATTACAGTTATTGTATTTTTTTTAATGTTTGCTATGAAGTAGTTTTTCTCAGAAATGCTGGCTTGTTTATTCATGAAACCTTGAGCAGAACAATTCAAGAAGAAATTGATGAATTTTCGTGATTTCTGAGTAGTGCATAATTTACATTATTGATTAGTTACTGTTCAGTATTACTTACTGCCACAAGAGGTTTTGCTGTGTCAATGGCATGTTGCTTCATGTCATCTGGCATCTCACATTGTTTCACATCCTCTTTAACCTCCTTTGGGTCACTGCACAGGAAAGAAAAGAACAACAAAAAATCTTTTTAAGTATCTTTTCAAGAGATTTGATAGCAACAGTGAAGGTTAGGCATCCAGGTAATGAGATATGTGAAAAAAAAACAGTTTCTCAAGCAACTGGATATGATTTTTGAAACAGTCAAACGTTTTAGTTAGCATCAATCAATAGTTTGTGCTTATAAACCTGCCTTTCTGACAAGTCTACAGTGTCACTGATGAAAGATAGTGGATGCTACATTTTGTACCTGACGGTTTCCAAAATCATATCCAGTTGCTTGATAACTGTTTTTTTGGCAAATTGATAGCAACATAAAAAAATTATCACAACTTTAAACTGTCAACCCAAAGACTCTTCCATTTTTACTATTCTTCTTCTGCTCCCTTTAGTTCTGACTATGATAATAATATAATTATTAGTTTGATATCACATATCAAACAACAGGACCTGTACTAGTGAACATATTGAACCCATTGTTCAAGTTAATTATAATGTACATATTGCATGTTATTGCGGTCACACATAAGGCCGTTTTATAGTATATATCATACATAATTCATAGCTACCAACTTATTTATTACGATTGAAACTAGATATTGATTGAACATATCAAATGGCTGCAAAGAAAATTTTTTTTAATGGAAATACACATCAAGTTTAAGCTCAGCTCAAAACAAGGCTAGAAGTATGTTATGAATATAATGGTACATGTATTTACAATTACATTTAGAAAGGCTATCTAAAATTGGTACTGTAGTAAGTAGTATTATTCAAAGTCAAAATAAAACCGTACAAGGCAATTTTGAACAGAAAGAGAATTTGAAAACAGCAAATAAAATGTAGGATTGATTTTTTTCCAGTGTATCTTCCAACTGGTTTGTACGAAAAGATAAATAAAGGAAACTAAAATTCTTTAGCTTATTTTTTGTGAATGAGACTTCAACATTTGGCTCTTAATACACTAATAATGCCAACAACAACTAATAATGCCAACAACAACTAATAATGCCAACAACAACGACCTTGACAGTCAGGAAATCTTTCAAAATATTTGAAAAATGTGAGGCACTTCTAACGACCATTTAAAAACACCTGCTTAATCGAATCCTAAACACCACCACTGACCCCTAAAGAGAGGTCACCCCAAAACAGGTTGTACCACTTTCACTCACCCTGGGGGTGGGCAGGCTAAAATTATTATGCCGTTTCATAGTAAGTGATTAAAGCTTATATTTATGCAAGCTATGCTTGTTATGAAAGAGTACAGCAAAGATATAGACAGAGTTTTAGCAGCAAAATAAATATTACATGGTCAACAAGAAAGGATATGTCAATTGCTCATTGATACTTCCAGACGTTGTAATCATTTGTAATAACTTACCTCAGATCATTATCGTGTAAGTGGAAAATTAGAGACGGGGGTCTGAGATATCATTGTCGTCCACAAAAAACAAATTTCACGGCTTTTTGAACAACAAACTCCTGAAAATGACTCGATAATGTTGACAGTGTCTTGTAAACGAAGATTTACCAATAGCTCCTTACCTTTCTCAAAAGTCTTGACATTCATACATGTAATTGGTCAATTTTTCATTTGAAAAAGAGGTACTAATAAGTTCTAAAGAGGTACTAAAGAAGCTGAATTTACTCCCATTTTCAGTCACCCTACGTCAGATCTTCCCAGAAAAAAAAGATTTTGTAGGCTCAGACTACATTTAAAATCTGTAAGAAATAATCCTAGTATGCATGAAGTACAAAATTTGTACATGTAGTCATCAGTAAGAGCCATTCACATAGCTTAGTACTTAATGAGTCTGCAAGCTCTAAAAAATTTTTTTGCAGCCAGTGTGCTCTCAGTCACTGTGAAAATCATAAGGCTAACCTTGGAAAATCTACAAAAATATCAACTGCCAACTTACCCAGGTGAAACGTACATGTAATTCCCCCAGGAAGAATTGAGAGAATGCCAGTTATCGTAACCATAATTCCTTTCAGTCATTTTTGGAGTCCCCTGAAGAGCAATTCCAGCGAGAATTTTACGGAAACTACAGAGGCACGTATGTTTGTACGCGTTCCCTAGAAACTAGCTATAGGGAACGTCGCATATCCTATACAATAGTAGACATCAGATGTCGATAAAGGATTTGAGAAGTCATGCAATGTGGCCATCATCGTCTGTTTTTCTTGTTAGGGTTGTCGATAAAAATCAGAAAATATGTATGATGTAAGAAGACAGTAATTAAGAGTGGCATCACAAACAATAAGACTTCGTGACGTAAACTTATAGCTTGATTGTTCTACAATTGATCGAAGCATCAAACATAGACAGCATTGTCAGCATTTTATTTCCAGCCTGTTCTAGGTGCTACGTTATATAGACAGTGACGTAAAGAAGTTAGTACTTCGACTGAAGTGGTAAGATTTGCATCAGAAAAATATTGGATTCTTGAGAGTTATCTGTTAACTGAGTTAATTTGAGAACCAACAAATTAAATTGATGTGGCCTTAGAGACAAAAAGTACAAAAAGAATTAACTTCACAGATCCCGCACATTACAGAAAAAGTGGGATTTTTTCGACTTAAACTGTTTCAGAGAAACAAGTCAAACCCAGCAACAAGTTAAAATTTAGTCTCATCATTTAGACTAGAGTAGTCACTTGTTATATCTTTAGTTCTCTCTTCATTGTTCATTTTTGTTGTTTCTTAAAAGTTTGTATTAATCATAGTTCATACTGAATATGTCCTATGTTTTTGTTCAGGAGTTTTAAATCATCATGCAACATTCTATACAGTCGATTTGACCCGCTCTTCTGAGGTCACCTGATTTTTTACACATGACAGGGTGGTTTAAACCCATTCTGAGTAGTGGCCAAATTTCTGATTATTCAACTAACTGTAAAAACTGTTGAAGTAGTGATAGAAACAACACATCTTGCAAATCACATATTATTACTAGGACATACATGTATCTGCACATTTCTTATTAGACAAGAATGACAATTGTAGGTTAACAACCTCTAGGTCACTCACCCCTGATTATTGTTTTGTACAATGCAAAGATCAAGATACTAGTATGTCTTCTGGTTTACAAAATTATGCTTTTTCTGTTCTAAAATGTTGAAGCATGAATCTGTTAGCTATGAAAAATATGTTTGTTAAAGATGTTTAAATACCATAATTGGTAATGGGGTAATTAACATTCTAGTTAACCAGCTGTTTGTTTTTAAGGAAATTTTTGCTTCTTCTACAATTCTGTGATAAAGAACTTTACAAAATCACGATCATAAATTATCTGAAATATCTCTTGTATAGTCGCCATCTCATTTTAATATTGTACAGTTTCAGGACGCCCCAAAGTGTCTTATAAGTAGGTTAGTGGGTTCTTCTCTTGTATTAAGTGTTAGACTTACCGAATCTAGAAGAAACTTTAATGAGATTTACCTTTTGTTGAAGGGGTTGAATAAACCAGAAGGCCATTCTATGGGGGATGGGAAGAAACTTGATTTTCCATGGGGCGTCACGGGGGTTTCGTGAGCAGGCACTGTCGGCATTTCCTAAAGAGAGAATCTATACCTGACCTGGCCACCTGAAAACCTGATCACCAAAGCTACTGGACCGACGGGTCGCGTTATTGTTACACTGGGGTGACCCTAGGCGTTTTTGAAACAATGTGGGGCAAAAGGGGGAGGGGTCAGCCATTTTCCACTCCATAGTAAAATGGTACGTTAAACATGTACCTTCTTTCTGGTTGTTAAAAGATTGTTCTAAGTTGATCAACTTCGTAAACACTTTTTACCCAATGATTGTCATTCGTACACAAGATCTGCTTTGATTTTTAAATTTGTAACAGTATAAAAAGTATTTTCAGCAGTATAAAAAAGAAGTAAGCCAAAACACAGTTAATATGCTTTTTGACACCTTGTTTTGCCTCACAGCTGTGAAGCCATAGTTACGGTAAAATTCCTTTATTTTCGCCACTGGGGTAGAAGGAGAAAGGACATTTTTGCAGTTTTTTGCAAATTGAAATAATTCTGTAAAATACTATATGCACGAAGCAGCACATAATGTTTTTTTCTTCATTCTTGTCGGCCCAACAAGTTTTACAACAAAAAATAGAGAAAAATTCTTGTTTTTACCTTAAATTGCATTGGGTGCCTTTAAGGGATGACTTTGGGATGTAGTCAAGTTTCTGTCGTTGTCTGATTGTCAAAATGTCAGTATGGTGATTTATGGAACTTTGTTTCTGAGGCATCCAAGGTCAATTACTACATAATACATCATTGGCCCCTAGCACAGGAGGGGGTGATACTATCTAGAGTAATGTTGTTAAAGTAATTGTTTATTTGACAGATTGTTGTAGAAAGTTCACATAGGGCCATATTTGGTGGGGTATCAGAGATATATGCTGTCTTGTAAACAAGTAAGACTTAGTGTACTTGAACAAGGCATGAAAAATTATGTCCCTTATGTTGTTCATGTGTTAAACTGCTACAAAATTTGAAAATAAGAAGCATAAATAGTAACACTAAAACTAGAACTTGTGTCTTTCAATTGAATTGTTTCAGATCTACATGTAGATGTACATGTGTAACGTTAGCTCTCAACAAAATGTTAGTATATTTAATGTAAATTTTGAAAGACCCTTTTTGGTAAAGAAATGACAGAAGTGCATCTGCAGAGATTTTTTAGTAGCCTGGGTACCATCCTACTTGTATGCCGGGGCTCCCACACTCGCTTCCCTAACAAGTTGTTAGGGAAGCGAGTGTGGGAGCCCCGGCATACAAGTAGGATGGTACCCAGGCTAATTTTTTAGGGGGTGAAAAGTAAGAAAATGAAATAAAGCTGATGTATATGCCATGGTCTTCTGTATTTGCTTATTAATCACTTACCTCTCATCATCACCGAAAAAGAAATCACTGACTTTCCCCATTTTGCTGGAAAGATGATGTGTCAAAAGTCCACACTGCAAAGAAAAAATATTTAATATATTTCCTCTTCTTGCTGCCTAACCCTTTAGATTAATTGTTGCAAGATGCCAAAAGGCTACATTGGCAGGCCGGGGAAAGAGTCATGTACATGTAGTTGCTGCCTTACAAAATGTAGGTTGGTTTTGGTAGCAAATTTTAGCAATTTTAATCTTGTAAATTTCCAAAGGTATGGTACATGTAGGTTGAGTTTTACCTGTGAAATTGAATATTCTTATTGACTAACATGTACAGTATAATGTATAGTATATACTAACTAGCATTAACAACAAAAAACAGCCATTTTGTTCTTTGAAAAGAAACAGTACTTAAATGTATGCTTACTCCCATAAGTTTAACCACTGCATTATACTATCAAGAAATGTTGCTTTCACCATAATTGATTGTGAAATTTTCAGTTTATCTGTGTTTGTAGTAATCATACTATGATACTTAAAATTGTGAAATTTTGCATTTTGATATTGTAGGACTGACTGGAAAAGCATTATGAAAGGTGTGCGACAGTCACTAGACGTTGTTGTTATGACTGAGTGAACATAAAATTGCTCGGTCAGCTGAAAAAAGAACCATACTTCTGTCTGAAAGCCTAAAACTTGTACACATAAAATTTTGCCTCATTTTTTTCATGGTTGTTGCATGTAATGGTTTAGATTGGAAGTCTATACATTGTAATATAATAAAGAATAATTTTGTGTGCAAGATTTCATACTTCTCTGATGTCAGTTACGTGTACGTCTAGACAGACATAAAAACAATGAGTTCACGCCCCCTTTTCAGATTTGTAGGGTACGTGTGTACGTGTTTTCATTTAGAAGCAAAAATTCCTTGGTTTTAAAACTGTTACTGATAATAATATTCTAGCTCAATTTCTGCTAGAAATTTTCTACCAATTGAATATCTAGAAAGTGACTGAAAATTGGGTAGTAAGACAGTGTCCTTCAGATTTTGACACAAATCTATTTTTATTTTACCAATCTTACCTGTCAGATACATATAAAAATGTGCAGTAGATCTAGAAGAGGATACAGTCAAAACTGGCCAAAAAGTCCGATCAGCATTCTGGTCTATATAGAAAGGTGGTCACTGTAGACATAACTCTTACTGATTGTGTCAATGGGAAAAATTATCCAAGGGACCACCATATTAGCCAGGTGGTCCTTATGTAGAGTTGGTCACTGGTACAGGTTTGACTGTACTGTAGACATAGAGTATTACACGCAAAAAAAAGAAATCATGGTAGTTTAACTCACCTTTCACAGACAAGTACCTGCCTTCCAACAGATTGAATGCGTGCTTATGACAAAACCTGGGAGTAGTGATGCTATAATTTGCATATGTCAACCCATTTGTCAATCCAAGCGAACTACATTCAACCCAGTCCTTGACTAGTGACCTCTGAATATTAGGGACTACACACCTGGCAACTTTTTTCCTCAGAATTTTTTCCACCATTTTTTCAGACATTAAAAATCCTGTCAAAAGTGGCCACCTGACTGCAAATTTTACATTGAGAGGTCATTTCTACAGACATGTTTGACTTTATAATTTAGTACATATAGAGGAGGCCCAGGGCTGGAAATCTTTTTTTTTCTGCATGCCTGCACTGGTGCAGGTAACTAACATTGAAAATCACCTGACAAATTTTACCTGCACCAATTTAGAAAGTATGGATCATACTAAAAACTGTTCGATCTGCACTGTGTACAAATGTACGTAAACCAGGTGTAGGTAGACATCAGAACTACTTGCACTGCTCCAATTTTACCTGCGCTAACCTACATATGCAGTTGAGATTTCAAGCCCTGAAGTCATAACTAGTGGCACAGACAAATTGTGAACCTGTGGAACAAGTAACTCTTGACAGAAGTCGTATGAATTTTGTGTCTCCCTCTAACACGATACATGGAAACATCTGTGTTATACTTGCTGAGTATCTTCTTGAAAACAGTCTACATTTGTACCTTTTCACTTGAGTTGAAAAACCTGTATTGACATCTAGGGATTTTGTTAACTTGATGATTTTTAAGGACTGAACAGAAGTGTTTTGGTGTTGTAGGGCTTTAGAAATCTTGGTCATCAAAATCATGAACACTGACAGGGAGTTACATGTACATGTAGGTCAAGGGTCCCAGAAAAGGTTATGCTAAAGCTGCACAGTTGAATTTTTCTGTTACAGTATAATTAATATGTTAAACTTTCTAGAATATCTGTCTGTAATGTAGTCATATGATACAAAATAAGGCAATGAAGTGTGTTTCCCAAACTTTTATTCAATATTAGCACCCAGTAATTGTTACAATGCCCTTGATAACATACACGTGTAGGTAACAAACAAAATTGTAGTTTTGATGAACAATGCTTGTAAGTTGTATACATGTAGTTGTTTTAATCAAGGACATTATATAGAAGTATTATATAGTGTCCTTGTTACAATCATTTTGTGGAATCCGTAATAAGTGAAAACATTCACAGGAATAGTAAGCTAAGACACGTTAGATACTACAGTAACGAAGTTGGTGCTTTGTTTCATCTTGGTTTTGGTTAGTATATTACTGATTGTATTCACCTTTTTCACACTTCCAATAATGGTTAGCTATATAGGGTTGTGGTAGGTTTGTGGTAGTGTCGTAAAACCATTTGGGTTTGAATAGACAATGCATAATGCATCCTTCCAACCACTCTAATCAGACCCTATTGTTTTATTACACTACCTATGACCATCCTATGCCAAAGAATTAATATGGGAAGGGTGAACAACCTAGTAATTTCGTTGGGTCTGCCTTTCTTCACCTTTCTGAAAACTTACTCAGCACCTATAAGAAGTAGTGTTTGCAAAAGGAAACACTTCTAAAAGTTTAAGAACAAAATTTCCCTTCCAGAGTTTCACCAAAGCAATGAGAGTAAAATTCTAACAGTAAAGTACTGGCCAAAGATGCATTTAAGAATTACTTTCAATTCAGAACTTGAAGAGCATTGAAAAGGGTTGTTTCTTTTGATCGTGCAATGACAGGCCATTTTAAAAGTCGTTGTTTTGACTTATTTCATAGAGCTACACCAAGATGACATCGTGAACTCTCCTTTGCAGGTCCTGGCCTGACCCCTGACCTCTGACCTCTACACCTTGAAGAGCATGATGGCGGTTTTGTTCAGGTACATGTAGATGAATGTATCCTTCGCATGAGTGATGGAGGATCCGAAATCCGTCCCCACGATACAGATGAATGTGGGCTCGTACTTGGTGTCGAACTCTTTCTTCAGAGCGGACGCGATGTCCTTGTGAGGCTTCTTCTCCTGTTGGGGAAGGTCACTCAAGGTCAGTGAACTATACGGTAAGGTTCAAAAGTTGAAAGTTCATGTTGGGCAGGGAATTTTGAATATTCCAGCACCATTTATAAAACGTGTATGACGACTCAAAGGTGACAACAGAGCGCATTTGCGTAGTAGGCAGATTTACTAAGCACGTCAGCAGAACGTACTGCACCTGTGTAAAACCCCCGATTGTTCACGGTTTTCATTGGATTTATGATCAACGTTGCATCAGAAGTTTGCCTGTTGCAGACGATATTTTTTACGACACAATGTTTGAAAACTATAGACGGCATTTGAAGCCTTCGAATTTGACCTCGCAAATGTGTACTTCAAACATGTGAACCAGCTTTTTATGGCGTGACATGTACAATGTACGTGAAACGTTCTTACCGCTACGAGGGGAGTTGCAGTCTTGGTGGCATGTTCCTTCATTTCATCTGTCATCTCACATTGTTTGATGTTGACCTTGACATCTCCTTTCTGCTCACTGTAAAGGAAGAAACAAGAGTTTGTCCATGTTCCAAAGTTTCATTAGTTCAATGAATACTACCTTTGCATGAGATACTACGTATCAGCATTCTAGCCAGCGTCTGTCTTCTTTCCGTAATTTGATGGAATTTTACACTGCTCATGGCAGACACAACTTTTGCCAATCCGTCATCTTCAACGGACAAAAAGATATGGAAAGAGATGTCATTAAACTAGGCTTAGTCTACCAGCAAAATTTACCCCTCAAAATGCAGGAAATAGTGTTTCAGAGAGGGTCATCAAGGTTTCAAACTTTTTCTGGTGGAAGTACGCTCCTGAAAAAACAAAGTTGACATGACAGAATTTCAGGCTGGCAAGAACACTGCTATATACGATGCTACAAAGTCAGATAGCAAGACACATACCTTTTGTGATGCAGCCAGTCAGAGTAAGAACTGCACTTTTAAGAATCAGAAACTACTTACTCGTCGTCCTTAAACAGCCCTGCTATATAATCTAGTGGCCCCTTCGACCCCTTTTCGGCAGGAGGAGGTTTAGGGGGTTCGCAGGTTGTAGGCTCGGGGGGTTTCTCCTCCGCAGGCTTTTCTTCTGCCGGGGCAGGGGGGGCTTCAGCAGGGGGGGTTTCGGTGTCAGCCATGATATTTACCTGTCATCAGATTGTAAAAAATCCTTAATGGCGTCCATGGTGGTGGAGGATTGTGGTCAGGCCGAGGTGGACACTGCAAAGAGAGGCAGTGGGGCTGTGGTTAGTAGGGAGGGTCTACGTAGCTACGACCAAGGCTCTCTCTCAAACAGTTTTGTCTTTGTGAAAGTTTTGAGGCACAGTTGACGCCCTAATGAAAAAATGGACGGTGTGGTTGGAATTTTTGTCTGTTTTGAACAGAAACTTCCATCTAGAAACAGAAACTTTTTGTGTAGGATTCAGTACGACAGTAAAGTCCCATTCAGACGTGGAAAATTTCATCCAGGAATGAAAGACATTGTAAGAAGCTTGAGAGAGCCCAGGTTTGGATGGACATGCTAGCAGTTACAGTAGAATGGGGTGGTAGATTAAATGTGATACATGTACTTGGGTATAGAGCCACCACAAAACTGCCCTACGTTTGTAAGCAATGATTATTAAACTCCAAGCAGATTTGGTTTGGATGGGAACAGTGTGCAATTAAGAAAAATTTGAAAAAGTTACAGGTAATGAATTAATTGAAAGCATGTTGGGCTGTATCTACTCAATGTGTTAATAGAAGTAAGTGATAAAAGTGAATGTTAAATCATGGGTGCAACTTTGTAACAGGTGTTAGTACTATCCCTATAGTCTATTTGTTAAGGGTACGGTCACTTTTGTTGTAAGTCATTGTCCGATTCTGATGTCGTAGGATTTTCAGTCAGGCTGTGACAGGTCCAACGTAACCACTGATAAGATCTAAGACAACCTTTTCAGCAACAACTCACTCACTCACTATCCAGTGATAGCTGAATTTTGTATGACACGTGCATGACAACCCAAGAATGCTGTTTGTAGATCTTTATACGATTGTGATGTTGTAGGATTTTTAAGTTGGTTCTTTCAGGTAGAAACTTCTACATGGTAGCCAGTGACATTTGCGAGCCGGCATAAACTACGGAGGATGGCACCCAGGCTATCATTTTTCAACCACCAACCTAAAATTTAAGACAATCTTTTCCACAAGACAGCTGAATTTTGTACAACACTGTGAGTCATGCACAATTGTCATACACATGAGTGTCATAAGTTTGCAATCATTGTACAACAACTGTTCAGCAAATGTGACCAAGCCCTAAGCAACTAACAAAATTAAACCTAGAACGATTTATAGGTTGGTCTGGAATCTTTAAGACCGTAGAACAACCTATGAAGATCAACAAATTATTAGAAGACAATGTTTAGAAATTAGAAGTTTTGACATTCTTGATAATCTACATGATCTTTACACGTTCGAGATTATGATAATAGCACAAAGAATGCTTTCTCAGAATGGCTGATGAAACCTAATTACATGTAAGTGGACTGATAATAATGGTTATGCCATATGTCTGCAAAAGTTGGGAAAAATATGCTGTATATTTCAAATTTTTCCATATCAATCTTTAACTTTGTTTTGATACTTCAAAAAGGATCTAAATGTACAGGACAATATGTATAACTGGTAGCTAATGTGATATAGAAGCACCTGTAGTTTTTATACCATTATCAGGGCTATAGCTACTGTGGCTGGACATAATTACCGGTAGGTCACGCCCCTTTTGTACTGTGGGCTTGCAACCTGGCTTAACCTGTTTGAAAGCTCAACTCTTCTGTTAACGAAAAAGGCTAAAGAAGAAAGTACTCTTAACTTTTCCACTTGATTGTGTTCACATTAACTTCATTGGATGATGAAAGCTGTCATGTGAATTTCAGTAAATTTTCAATAAAATCATAGGAAAAGTAGCACATGGTCATGCAATCGTCTTAAAAACTTACAGTCATACTTAGCCAACAAACAGCATCTCAATAGAAAGTCTATTAGTAACAGTTAAACTTACATGTATCTATCAGTAAATGTAGTATGTGTCAAGTACTAGTTATTAGTAGCCAGAGAAAATGACTCACCTACTGCAGGCAGCTACTGTAGCTACTGAATCAGCAAAATGACTGGAAGAAACTGACGCCTCTAGTTGTGTCTCATTTGCATATGTTAGATAATTTGGTAGTGATTTGCATATGTCGACCCGCATGTCAACCTCAGGGCACTACAGTCCAACCTGTACCAGTGACCACCTCTAGATCTGCATGAAGGACCACCTGGTCACTGTATAAGAAAACATCTGTTTTATACTCAATGTTTACCTTAAAAGTTTTTGAAAAAAGGGTTCCCTTTTCATGAGGTACATTAGATATTGGGTACACCAAAAATGATTTTATACAAATTTTTCTTTTTCAGAAATGGGCAAAATTTTTTTTGTGTCTCCCAGAGCCATGGAACATAGAAATATGCCATTGTAATGAAGAAAAGAAGACAAATACTAAAAGTGAAAAGCCAAAGATTGTGATAGTGTGTGTACATACAAAAATGTATATGTTTGATAGATGTTCAGTCTAACAGATATTGACAGATTGTCACTTTAATTTACGTTTTTTAGGTTAAAGGTAAAAAGTGGTCGGCCTAAGACTTCACGTGGAGTGACTGTGACTGTCACAGTCCTTTACAATAGCTACATGTACTTGATGTGCAACATGACATTGCCACAGATCACTTTGTTGGCCAATCATCAGATTGTCCCTAGTCTTCTCAATAAGTGTGTTGGGTTGTTTTACGTGCAGAGCTTCAATGATTGAACAGACCTCTTCTTGCTGCTGCCTAATCTGGTAATTTACAAATGTGGTGGCAAATGGCTACCTTAGCAGGATGAAGGTTAAGCTAACAAAACTGGCTTCCAGGCTAGAGTAACGTAGTAATCAGTACGTAGGAGTTGGGTTAAGCTCAGAACAAGGCTGACACCCAGGCTTATACTTTCTACAGCTCCAATCTGTTTTATATGTACATTACGTATGCTTCAGAAATGAAGACAATTATGTGTTTTTCCAAAAGTTTATTCAAAGATTCCCCAGCAATAATGCACCAAAATAGCACACAATCGTCATTGTATAGTTCCAACAAAACTGCAGTACATTACAAAATGTATACATGTACATTTTTGTACTCACAAGAAATGTTACTTGTGAATATAGCCAGATAGTTAATTGTTATGGCTGTTACAATGTAGAGTCTGTTGTGTGTATCTATGCTGTTGCTATGTACTCAGTATTTGAAGAATATATTAATAAAGTGTATAAGAATGGTACTGGTAAGGCACATTTCGATACTTAGCATTTTCGTTTAACCTTCTCCCTATTGAAGTTTGTATTGGTTACATGGGCAAGGCATCAGAGAGAAGGCTACTAGTAGGTGATTTACAGCTCATATCAAAGCAAGGCTCATAAGGCACTCAAATAAATATCTTATACATTTGTAGTAGTACTGTATTTCTCTCGCAGTCTTGGTTAGCATTGCACGGGTTCACCTCTCTACATTTAATTCTGCTTCAGCTCACAGATATGCAAGTAGATTATCACCCAATAGCTTCAGACTCCCAAAACCTAGAACTACCAGTAAGAAACAAACCTTTCTCTATCAATCAACAACTGGAATGCCCTGCCACCTATATTCAATCATTATTTAAAATAGACTGTCTTCTTTTATTTCATCGAGCCACAAAATATGAACTCTCCTTTGCAGGTCTTGACCTCTACACCTTGAAGAGCATGATGGCGGTTTTGTTCAGGTACATGTAGATGAACGCGTCCTTGGTGTGCGTGATGGAGGAACCGAAATCCGTCCCCACGATACAGATGAACGTGGGCTCGTACTTGCCGTCAAACTCCTTCTTCAGAGCGGACGCGATGTCCTTGTGAGGCTTCTTCTCCTGTTGGGAAAGGTCACCCAAGGTCAGTGAACTGTGGTCAAAGGTTACTGTTCAAAGCAGCTACTAATCCTATCCACATATTGGATGTTTTGTGGCTTTTTAAAAAAAGAATGCAAATATAAATGGATTGAAAAGTACAGGCATGAAAAAGGGTACAGCCCTTGTTTCCAACAATCCTATTTTGTGAACGTGTCAAAACATAGGGGTGGATAGCACGTCAGCAGAACTTACTGTGTCATAAAAGATATCAAATGCAACGGGCAAAATTCTAACCAAAAATTCAACAAAAACACTGAAAAATCAATGTGAGTTTTGCGCGGGCGCAGTATATTCTGCCAATGTGCTGGGGTGGGTTAGGGCTTGGCGATGTCAGAACGTGAAAACATGAAAAAGTCCTGCACGTACAACAAATGTACACGTGTATGATCTTACCGCTACGAGAGGTTTTGCTGTGGCGACTGCATGGTCCTTCATGTCGTCCGGCATCTCACATTGTTTGATGTTGACCTTGACATCTCCAGGATTTGCCTCACTGTAGAGGAACAAAGAACCAAGATACATGACACGAATCAAATCCTCGTAATACATAATATGCACATTAAAACATAATTTCTATTTGTGGCATTGATTAGCAGCCTTAGCAAACTCTTGAGTCACCAGACTTTTTTGGGTCTTGTCAATGTGCTGCTTTTCTGAGTACCTAATTTCTTGATTTCCTCCATAGAGCCTGCTTGAAGTTAAACTCACCATTTAAAAAGGGGTGGCTCACAAAAAAACTGAACTGCCATCAGGGAAAAAGCACATTATAAGTCCTCCAGAAATGCCTGACTTGTCAGCTCAAGAGGCTATGTATTGAAGACAGTTTTAGTTTACGTCATCATTCAACTAACCCTACCTGTACCCTGACATTTGCGAAGACAGTTTTCATCCTGTATAAAATCGATCTATGATAATACCGTTACACGTACCTTTTCTGATACAGCTCCAAGAATCGAAACGTTACTTACTCATCCTTAAACAGCCCTGCTATATAATCTAGCGGCCCCTTCGACCCCTTGTCAGCAGGAGGGGGTTTCTTCTCAGGGGGTTTCTCTTCTGCAGGTTTTTCTTCCGCAGGCTTTTCCTCTGCCGGGGGAGGGGGGTCTTCCGCGGGGGCCGGGGGGCTTCGGTGGGAGGGGTTTCTGTGTCAGCCATGATATTTACCTGTCATCAGATTGGAACAAATCCTTAATGGCTTCCTTAACGGCAGTCATGTTGGCGGAGGATTGTGGTCTGGCCGAGGGTGACACCAGGGACTGCAAAGACAAGCAGGTGGGCCTAGTTAGTAGGGAGGATTTAAGCTGCTGCGACCAAGGCTGTCTCCAGCTCTCGGTTTGAAAGAGCAAAGCTGCGTGTTAAGCGTCAAGCGCCAAGGACGTTTGATATCCAGTCTATCGCGGTTGGGCGGATTTTCTTCGGGGCTGCTAAAGCTGTTCCCCGCCCACCGCAAATAGGTTCCCCGGTAGGTTTTGCACAACGGTTTTGCATGGCATGCCAAACTCTATCACAGAGGTAACTCCTACCGGGCGATCTGTTTGGCAATCCAAAGACAGCCTGCCCCAATCACGATACTGGATACCTGGCTACAAAGACTCGAGTGATCCTAGGGGCGTCGGAAAATAAGGTCGTCGAAACCTACGGTTTTTGGAACATAGGCTTTCCCCAACGAAGCAAGCTCCTGGGGAGATTTTCAACTTTTTTTTTTTGTGGACGTTTTTGTTGAACCGTCATTGACCTGAGAAAAATGTCGTGCATTTTTGATTTTGATTTTGTTATGAGGACAGAATAGTCGATTTTCATTTTCCGTCCCAATCAGTAAAATTCCACTCTGGGACAAAAATCTGGACACTGGAGAGAGCCCCTAGATAGCCTGGACATTGCTTGTAGTTATGGAAGATCATTTAAAAGGTACGTGTTATGGGGTGGTAGATCAGATGGGAAGCCACCGCGAAACTGTACTATGCATTGGGGGTGGGGGTGGGGGGAGGAGTTAAAAAATAGATATTGGCAGGCATAGAGGAACTGCATATGGGCACACTTGTAGATTTTATGTTAATATATGATCAAGACTTAACTATATATAGAACCGGTAATCAAACGTTATCGCAGCCCGGGTATGATATAAGTACAGTATCTGTATACTATTAGCCAGTATAACCGCCCTTCGCAGGTACGCGGCACGTGTAACACGAACACAGGCCTAATGTCAGGAGAGACACACCCCTTTTTGTTCTTCACTGTGCATGGTCATGGCACTACATGCAACCCCTTGTTACATTTGACAGCACCAATTTTTTGGTCACAAAAAAAGGTTGCAGAAAATTTTGAAAAATAGTCAGACTTTTTATTGACTATTTATTCAATGGCCCTTTATTATGTTCACTACCAGTATATTTTCATTCAGTTGAGCTCAAGTCATGAATTGCTGATTATGTCACTTTTGGCTCAAATTTCACCGACAACAAACAACAAAGCTTTTCACAGCTGACTTTTCTTACAAAGGTAACTACGTACATATGCTGTGTGTTGAACTAAAATTGCATTCTGTGCAGCTACATTTTGAAATAATTCGGAATAGAATTATAAGAAGTTGTTTTTAGTAAACAGTCTAAACCTTTGCAATGGTTTATTGGTTGTGGTTTTACCAATGACCTCTCTACCACAGGATCGTCACACCACAGACATAATTTCGTTTCTTACCAATTCCCCTACTTCTTGCCAGCTCATTCATAAGATATTGAAAGCATCAATATCATATGAATTTCAGTAAATTTTCAGTCGATCAATTTTCAACTACTGACAAATATCATACAGCCATGCAGCAGCCTTTGCAGTCAGTGCTAATAAACATTTCAACAGAAAGTTTTAACTGACAAGATGATCTACTTAATATGTACATGACAGAATTTATGTGGTATCCACAAACTTGACTCACCTACAGGCAGCTTCCAGCAAAGTCAAGACTCGCTCACTCGCAAAATGACAGTTGTCAGAAATCAACGTCCCGACAGTTGTGCCTCATTTGCATATGTCAGCCCTTCCTGAGAAAGTCAGTGCAGGACAGTGACCTGTTCAACCAGTGCCAACCGGTCGCCACCAGATTCAACTTCTGTTTTGTACTCGCTGGCAATCTACATAGGACGTGTACACGTTTTTGTTAAAGCGAGGCCAAACTATCCG